CCTCATTTTCCAAAGAAACTGAAAGGTTTAGCTGGAAGTGATCTTCGGTTCCATGTCAACGAAAAAAGAAAACAGCAAACAGGTTATTACGAAACCGACAGTGAAAGTGGAGATGAAGAAGTAATGGATTTGCTGGTTTTTTTAAAATCAAAAATGGCTTAAAGCTTGTAGTTACTAAGTCATTAAACTTTGATGACTTTTGGTCAAGTCTTTGATTTTGAAACTTGGGTTTTTGGTGTTTTTATATTTGGAATTCCCAGATTAATGTCGGCGCATCTACTTCGGGAGTTGAAAAATCTGCTTTTGAATCAGCAGAAGATGAAGGTGGGAAAGCTAGCAAATTAGACGAAGTAATTTCTATAGTACCTGCAGCTGTGGATGAGGAAGGCGCTGGTATCGAGGAAGTTGAAACGGCAGAATCAAGTTAGAAAATGTGTAGCTTCGAATAACTCTTGAGACTGTATTTTCCCTCTGTCTTAAATACAAATTTAATTTAAAAAATCGCAGATTTTATTTGCTAAGAAGCTATTAAAAGTTAAGAAATAAAGATATTAGTGAAACGATGTAGAGGAAGTTGCTAGACGCTTTTTGAGAAATCTTACGGTTACTGCTCCATATGATATTTTGGAAAGTTTTAGTAATTTTTTGGGATAATTTTACCTTTATAATTTGCCGTTGTAGTAGACATTACGTTTAAGGCACCACAATGACGGGAACAGAGGACGAGATTAAAACAGTTGGTAAAGAAAAAAATATCACCGAAGAACACGCCGACGTTCGGACGATGTTTCGAGAAAAGATTTTCGTTGAAAGAACTGACGAAATTCAGAAAAAGAGAGCAAAGCTTCCTATTTTCGAAGAAGAACAGGCAATCGTTGAGGCTGTGAATGAAAATACGGTAGTTGTTTTTATAATTTACTGTATGCAGATTCTTTAGTAGCATGTTAGTTTACTTTAGTCACTTATTATCTGTGGAGAAACTGGTTCGGGGAAGACAACCCAGTTACCTCAGTTTCTTTATGAAGCAGGTTATACGACGAATGAAAAGCTTATTGGTATCACCGAACCGCGAAGGGTAGCAGCTATAAGTATGGCTGCCAGAGTTAGTTACGAATTGTGCAAGCCAGAAGTTGTTTCTTACCAGGTGATCAAATGAATTTATCTTCAGCACTGAAAGCTGGAAATAAATAGAGTGTTTGCAGATCAGATATGAAGGGAATCGCACTGAGAAAACTCGGATTTTATTTCTCACAGATGGAGTTTTGATGAAGGAGTTACAGAAAGACATTTTACTTTCAGCTTATTCAGTCATTATTATCGGTGAACTTACTTTTATATTATTATAAAAGTTAGTGGTAGTTCTGATACAATGGTTATCCCTTTATTATTGTCTGTATCTAAGCTCTTATGCATTCGTTTGTACTGTCCTCTACCTTGTTAAATGCTTTTCAGATGAGGCTCATGAAAGGTCAATGTACAGTGATGTATTAATTGGACTATTATCTCGTATTGCACCGCTCAGAGCAAAATCATTTAATCCTCTTAAATTTATTATTATGAGTGCTACTTTGCGCTTATCTGACTTTACTCAGAAAGTGTAAGTTTACGCGATGGGCCACGTTCAGCTATTATGAGATAGTATTCGTTGGGTTTTAGACGCTATTTTTATTCTGTATTAGAGTTTCTTTCATCCTACGCTGAGTTATTTTTTTGATGGGTAATTGCCAAATTTTCTGCAGATTGTTTCCCATTAGCCCTCCCAGGGTTTTGAAGGTGGATGCTAGGCAGTTTCCTGTTGTACCGTATTTTGAACGTCATACTCCAGATAATTACATGGAAGCCGCATTTATAAAAGTCTGCGAGATTCATGAAAATAAGCCACCCGGCACAATTCTTGTCTTTCTGACAGGCCGTTTGGAAGTAGGATTACAGACCCTTTCTATTTTTTAAATCTAGACCATTGTTTTGTACCTGAGCGATTTAAGCTTCATAAGCCAGAAATGGTAATAAAAGGTTCCTAATAGTTTTTATGAGTGTCCTCATGGTTTTTAAAACTTAACAGCTACACGGCGAAACAGGTTTAAATCCAATGGAAGATTTGGACTTAGGTTAATACATTGGGCAGTTTTACGTTTTTCTACAATGCTTTTAAAAAACTGTAAGAATACACTTACAGATGGAAATAAGCGTAGGTAATGAGGAGAGGAGGAGATTTGACTGGAATTGGTCGCAAGATTTTCAAGCATTAAAGAGAGCAACAAGTTAAGAAAAGTTGAAGAACATGCTCTAATACTTCAAAAAACTAGAAATTTTCTAGAATTATTTCAATTAATTGCAGGTTGAGACTCTTCAAAGTTGGCTCGAAGGACGGTATCCTATGAGGTATTCTTTATCCTTCAACTCAGAGAAAAGGCTAAATTGACACTGTCAAACTAATAATATTTTATTGCTCTAGAAAAAGTTTTACGAGGAAAAGAACTAAAAGGAAAGTGAAAGGTAATGCGAAAGGGCCAAGATTGGACGATTACAGTGTTGAGGAGGAGCTCCATCGTATGGATTATTATGAAGATACAGATGTTGAAGATCCGGAGTTTGAAGGTTATAAGGTGGTTTAGACTGAGCGAAATTTTTGTTGTTTATGCAGCAACTAAGCTCTTCAAGTTCTGTTTTCAAAACTTCTTTTTAGTTCACTGCTCCGGAATTTGCTTTTCAACCATTTAACAGTAATACTAATCCTCTTTTTTGTCTTCCCCTCTACTCTCTGCTGTCGAGCGAGAAACAGAAGCGTATTTTCGTTCCTGTCCCTGAAAATTGCAGGTTTCTTATTAACGATGATTCAAAGTTTTTATAATGATCTTTGAAGAGAATTTCTATTCCTATTTGAGTGTTTATTTCCTTGGCATTAGTGTTTTTAGAGGATGTGTTATTGCGACAAATGTGGCGGAAACATCATTAACTATACCTAACGTGCGTTATGTTGTTGATAGTGGACGAGAAAAACGCAGACTTTTTGATCCTATCACAGGAGTTTCTAAATTTTGTATAAAATGGATCTCTCAAGCTTCTGCTGATCAGAGAATGGGTCGAGCTGGTCGTGTTCAAAGTGGAGAGGCTCATAGGTTTGTTTTTCGCTAGGAATTTTTTTTTTGGGCTGAGGGGTTGAAAGAGGTTTTTTAATTGCAGCGTGCTTTGATCTCGTCTTCTTATTGTTGGAGCTTATTTATTTTTCAGGCTCTATTCCCGTCAGTTGTATACGGATCTTGCAAAATATAGTGAGCCTGAAATACTCAGCAAACCAGTTGACCAACTTGTTTTGCATATGAAATCAATGAATATAACTAAGGTACAATTTCGCTTTTCAGAATCAACTATTTTCGTAATTAAGAATTTATTTGCAAGTGAAGATTTTTCAGCATTGTTATGATTTAAATAAAAAAAGATAATATAGGTTGCAAATTTTCCTTTTCCGTCGAAACCTGACAGTGACTCCTTACGAGAGGCGGAGGAACGGCTTTTGCGTTTGGGTGCGTTAGAAATTACTACTAAGAAAGGAGTAGTAAGACTTTACTAGTTAGCTTCTGCTTTTTTGTTCTTTCACTGTAGGGAATCAGTTGGATGTGTTTGGACAGTAATAAATCACTTGAATATATTCGATTCTTTAACTTTAGAAGAAAACTTCTGGTGATTTATAAAAAGTATAAGGATTTTTATCGTTGCAGTTGTAATTCAGAACTTTTTGGTTACAGCAAACTTTTGCCGAATGTGGGGTTAGGAATTGAATGAATGACCGACATTTTTTTCATTTTCTTTTTTTTTTTTTTTTTTTTTGAGGAGGAAGCAAGAATCAGTTCGCTTGGTAAAACTTTGTCATTATTTCCTCTGGCTCCGAGTTACGCTAAAATTCTTGTTATGGCAAAACAGAATGACCTTTTGCCCTATGCATGCTGCTTGGTTGCTGCTCTCTCTGTTCGAGAACCTCTTATTCCAGTTTATTCATTAAAGTATACTATAAACATCTTAACTTTCCTTTTTTTTCAAAGATTATATTAAATTGATGTGAAGATTTCTTTAAAATTTATTGACATCAGTGTTTCGTGTACGAAGGGGAGGGTCTTTATTCAAGTGGAACGCGAAACACTGTGTGTCACTACTACTGGTAGAAGTATTTGGTTTGAAGTATGACTGTTCTATTCTAAATCACTTAACGGAACGATCAAAAAAAGTACGGAAGAGCTTTTGCGACATCCTAATCCATGAATTTTGACTATTTTTTATGAGAAGTTTGAGGTTTTGCTATGTTTTAATTTTTATTGATAAAACTGCTAGTTCAGGGGAGATACGGAGGAAGAAACGATGAGTAAGATGTTAGAAATGTTGAAAATGAGGCGAGCACTAAATGGTCAAGGCCATTCTAAAAGATTTGGGGACTTGAGTGTTCTACTTAAAGCAGTTTTAGGAGCCCAAACGCAAAAGGTACGTTTGTATTATTTTGGATGTCTTCAGTAGAAGGTTGTTGTTTACAGTTTCTTTTACATTTTCTTGAGAAGTGTGAGTCTATAATTGGAACTAGCTGGATTGGATAGGTATAATATTACGTAGTTTTTATAGTAGTTTTTAGTCTTTTAATTTTTTTTGAGGTTGCCTGCTTTAAGGAGTCTAGTAAGTCGTGATTGTGTGGAACTATTTTTTCAAAGTATAATGTTGAAAATATTTTTATATATGGGAAAAGTAGGTATTCAGTTGAAAGAGCTTATGAAGTTAACGAGGTTACTTAATATGATGGGAATTTTTCTTTTGGAAAAGTATTTGAAGGCAGTAATGGTATTGTGAATTTATCACATTTAATTTTAAAAAATTAACGGTCAATTTTTTGGGTGTAGAAAGCTGTGGGTTTAGTCTGTAAAAGAAGGTTCTATTACCTTAAGCAGTAATGGGAGTAAATGTCATCCTTTTCGTTACGCTTTTTTATTTTTTGGCGTTGTGAGTATTTTTCTCAATTTATGCCGGTGGCAGTTCTGACGGATCGTTTTTATCACTTACTTTTTTAAACGGGAACTACATGGCAGAGGAAAGGCTAAAATAGAAAGCTTATAAATGAGGTGTTTTTAAAAGCAGACAGTCTAAAGACCATAATTTTTTTCTTTTAGCCTTTGTCTTTTATTTTTGGTCTATTTTTCATGGACAATATTTATCGGTATTTTCTATTACATTGTCGTTTAGAATTCTAAGGAAACTTGTATCGAATTTGGAGTAAGGGAGAAGGCATTGACAGAAGTAGCGAAAATCAGGCAACAGTTAACTAACTTAATAAATACTAATTGTGTTTTGGAAAAGCCTCTTGTCATCGACCCTCATTTGTGTTATCCAGAAGAAAGGCAGCTTAGGATGTTGCGGTGTGATATTTTTGTATTTTTGACAGATTCTTATTCTTATTCTGAACTATGAGCAAAGACTGTTTTCTGTGTCGTTTCAGTCAGATGGTGGTTGCATCTCTTACAGAAAATATTGCTCGAAGGGTTGATCGATCAGCCACTGATGAAGAGGTGCCAAAGAATGCGTATGAGGCTCTGAGACTGAAAGTTAGTTGAATGTCTTGAAAATAATTTTTCTTTTGGACGATTATTGGCGAGGAGGATTTAATTTCAGTCTAGTAGTAGTAGTGGTAAACTTTTTCTATATTCGTTGTCTTTTAGGACTATGTATTTATCGATGCCAGCTCTGTTTTATACAAAGACCAGCCAGATTGGGTGTTGTATTTGGATATAGTTGAGGTAACCCCTGGTTTCTTTGTGACAATCTTTAATTGATAGAACCGTTTCCTTTGCAAGACTGACATCTTAATAATGGATTGATCACTTGCAGGTGAATGGTAAGAAGTGTATGCGAAATATAGTAACGGTAGAACCAGATTGGTTGCCGCAACTTGCACCGTCTTATTGTCAGTTTACTAGTATTAAAGGAGCGGAACCAAGGTGAATAAGTTTGACACATATTAAACTATGAAAAGATGGGCTTTTATTCATTGAATTTAACTTGGTCTCAAAAATTTTGAACGTTTTTAAGTCTGTTTCGAGTAAAATATTTTAAATCTTGTTTATATTTTCTCTAGTATTATCTTGTTACTGCATAAAGCAAGAGTTAAGGTACGATCTGGAAAAGGGCCTTGTAATCATCAAAGAGAAATGTGATTTTCGAGACCGAAATTGGAGCTTGGGTTTTGTGGACAGACCACTTCATGAAGATTTAAATTTGTACCGCGCATTTGCTAAATTCTTTCTGGATGGATCTGTGTGTCCGTCACTCCGTGCTTATTCCGATAAGTTATTGGCTTCTCCGTCTACTATGTTCAAACCATGGGCGAAGTTGCAACGGCGAACTGAAAAATTACTAAATGTACTGATAAAATTTGAGGTTGGATTTTGTTTTTTCTGGTTCATAAGTTGAGAACGTCGCTGTAAAAAAGTGTGTTTTTGTCGCAAAATAATGATTTTGGTCGGAGGTTTTTTTTAAATAGTACTTTGTGCTTAGTTAAAAAATCCTGTTTTGATGTATGAGGTTCTTTCAGGTTACTACCAGAGCTCGTCTCATTGAAATCTGGAAAGAAAATGCCGAGTTTTTGCTTCATGAATATCTTGACTGGGTGCCTGTTTCTCTTCACGATGTTATCCAGCTTTCGTGGCCTCCAATTTGAAATGATTTTGTTATCTTATTGTCCCTCTTACTAGTATTTTGGCCTTTTGAGTTTTGCTTGTTATTTGTTGTTTTTATCCTATTAAGTTTGTTGTTTTTGCAGACTCTTAAAATGTGAATATAATAGTGTTAATATAAGGTTTATAATGATTGTGCACACTGATTTTCTCATTAAATCGAGGTTACAAGATTAACACCATACAGTTTGACTTGGAGGAGTTGTTTTAACAAGTTGTCTCGTATATTTTAAAAAATTTAGAAGCCATTAGAAACATCTGCTAGCAAATCTTCGTCATCATTACAGTAGCTGATGCGCTTTTTTACAGTAGGATTTAATGTATGTCTGAAAGTGAATGAGGTGCAAAACGCTACCAAAATTCTGCTAACGTTGCATTTATTTTCAAGTTGTTTTCAAGGTTTGGACATTTGCAGATGTGTATGTGCTAAGCTTTCGGATTACATTGGGCAAGAAGTAAGTTTTGGTAACGAGATAAAATGGCTGCAGTTGAAAGCAGGAAGGTATGCTGCTTTTCTTTTTTTTTGATACAGGATTGTGTGCGTATTTAATGGTGCAGGAGGTAACTTCTGAGTTGATTTCCACTTTTTACCTTAACCTGATCAGGAATTTTCTTAGTACAGTATATGGCATCAGTGAGGCAATAAACTGTTATTGAGATTTCATTCATCTTTCAGTGCTCTAAGAGGCTTATTTGCTGATTCTTGTGGTTTTTCCTTTAGGTAGTCAAGTTCGACTTCTTCAAACTTCCAGTGTTGCAATCTGGTTCAGTAACTGAACGCGAGCACTGGGTGAAATGGTGGCGACATGGAATTAGTGTTTTGAACTCTTTAATTGTTCTTCCGTTTGACGTTTTTTGGGCGAAATTGATTGAAGATCCAAAAATTATTTTATTTTTGGACTCTTTTTTGGAAGAATTTCCTAGGTAAACGGTTTTTCCAAAGTTCTGATTTTTTTCTTCTCATAGTTTTGCAACGAATAAGTATAGATAACATAGCAGTAGAGCAGTTTTCTTACAATATAATAACTTTTTACAGGTTTTGGGAAGTTGATCAAACAAGGTTATATTTTGGCAGTGATGCTTCAGTAAGTTCGGTTGCTACAGACATGTACCGGAAAATTTTCCTTCTTCTTTGCCGGGCGTCGATTCACAAAGAGAATAATGTTATAAATTTTAATTCGTTGTCATTTTAAATAATTAAAAACTTTTTGGAACGTTTCTTTAAATATCAATTTTTTTTGTATACTTTTCTGAAGTTTTATGATATAATGGAGCTTTTAAGAAGGAAGTTAGTGAGCTCTTCTTCAAACGGACAATTTACGACAATCATATCTTTACTGTCGAAAGGCTTTTAAATATAATTTCTGTTTACTGGAAAGATAATGAAGCTGGTGTACGACGTATTATTGAAGGGACAGTCGGTAGAGAATCAAAGTATTTGAAGGACGTAGCGGATAAAGTTGTCACTCTCTCAAACGTTGGCTTTACTTATAATCGTTTCATTTATACTGCTGCTTTTGTCATTTCTTGCTGTGGTGGACCAGGGTTTTTACAGTATCTTTCTGCTGCTTCAAGTGAACTGAGGAAATTATCTCAGTCAATGTCAGGTGATAATAGGGGATATGAGGAGCTGGATTCCTTACTGGCTTTATATGTTGATGTATTATATGCAGTACCTCGTTTAATATCTTCTTGTGAAACGTCTGTTCCAATAAGAGATGCGAGCTTCAACTTTTGTATCAGGTTTTACCTATTCTTATCGTTTAAGCTCATACCCTACTTGAAGAAAACTAGATTTACCCAGTATTTTTACGAGTTGTTCTGAATATTCTGGCCAGATTAAAAACGTTTTATTAGTCAAATTTGCTTATTGCATTTTTTCAGTATTCCTACCCTAATTGAAGCCGCGGAGGAGGTTGTTGCTCCGCAGTTGGAGTTTCACCTCTCATACGTTGCGTCTAACTCCACAAATAGGTCAGTTTGTGATGTATTTGTAATACCACTCTAGAATTTTTTTTATGATAGCAGTTTCGTAGCTTATCCGTATAATTTAGTGATTCGCTTTCCGTATTAGATTATCTGCGAGACGCGGCATTTTGGGCTTTTCATTTCTTGCATACTTTCCAGGATGATGATGAGAGATCGTTTGTTATTTTACAGAACGCACTGTGTTGCGAAAAGTAAGCTTTAGCAATTGTTTCTTCTGCAGTGCATCATTTTTTTGGAAATTTTGCATAAATTTTTTTTCGTTATAGGTTTATATTTTACTATAATCTGCGGTATCCTGTCGAAAGCATAGTTTCATCCCTACCTTTACATGGTACAAATAAAAGTACTGTCACAGAAACGCTAGGGGGAATAATGTCGAAACAAAAGGAGGCTATTGTAACACAATTAGGGGATAAAGGCGTGCTTGCTGTAGGTAATTATAAAGTCTAAAAGAGCAGTAGCTATTACATTGCCGTTACGGTTTCCACATTATGATTTTTTTAGCGTCTTGGACTGCCGGAAAGCCTTACAGTGGCTTCACAGATAGAGAACCTTGTTGAACTTTTGCCTCATTATTCACGAGAGTTTATACATGTAATTTTCACCATTTCAGACCAAAAAGTCGTTTTGAGATAAGTGAAAATCCTCAAACTTACGTATGTCATGGCTTGAGCAAGCTTTTATTTTTTATTTCTCCTTTATGGCGTATTTTTTAATTTCTCGTTTTCTAGCTTTCTTTGCGACATTACGGGTATGACTTTGAAAAAGTCACTAATGCGTTGCTTGACACGGCCTTGTTACCTTTGGACCTTCAGGCCTTAATGGACTTTGAACTAACTGCCCGAAATTGTCCGTTGATGACGGATGGAGACACTGGTATAAAATATTTTCTCTTGTTAAGCAAAATTTTTTTCGATGTTAAGAAAGGAGGGGTAGAATTGAGGGTAGTCTCTTCAGTAATTTCAGTGAATAGCACTGCAAGCAACTGCTTCTGTCCGTTCGTTATATTTGTCTTTTTGATTAAATTACAAACTGTAGAATTGTATTACATTAAATGGTTAATCTTTATCTCTAGAACAGATACAGATGCGCTGTAGAATTGGATCCAAAATTTTTGGGTAAATTTGTGGTGGACTTAGAAGGCGGTAAGAATATCAAGTATGTATCTTTTGAACCAGTCTTTGGTTGGCATTTTGTAAATTATTGAATGACTTAGTGGCGAAGTAAAGATAAGGTTGTGTTTTCAGTTGTCGCTAAAACTTTAGTACCGTACTTTAAAATATTTCTGCTTTCAAACGAAGAAAAGCATTTGTTGGAAAAATCGTTATTTTTTGCCTTCTTTGCGTTTCCTTATGTCATGAATTTTTCATTTGGTGCGTGCGATAATTTGTTTCGTCACTTAAAAACCTACTTAAAAATTTTAGAGCCAAATTTATTGCTATTAAATTTATATTGTTGGAATCTAACTTGTCTATATGTAGTAGAGGAAATTTTATTATAATAGGATGAGTAATCCCATTTCAGCATGTTACTTCTCAATCTTTCTCTCATTTTTGCTACTTTATCGAATTGTTGTATTCATGATTTCACAAAGTGGTTTTCTTAGCATCAGGGACACGTCAAAAGTTAAGATTGGTCAAGTTCCGCTGGTTTATTTTTTTGTTTTTCAAACAACACCGTCATTTTAGTCGTTCAACAAAAGAAGCGAAACTATGTACTGGTTGATTAGTGGTTTCACCAGTGCTTGTTACTTTTTTCTACATTTTGAGTTGCGAGACGCTAATCGTTGCTGCTTTTTAAATGCCACATCTTTTTAGTCGATATGTGGATTGCTAAACACGCGATGCGTGCATAATTCCCCATTATCCGTTAAAAAATTTGATCAACATCTAATATCTTTTATGACTTTTGGCGTACAATAGTCTGTCATATTCAAGTTTTTATGATTCCTTTTGAGGCACGGTTTACGTTTTTTCTTTTTAGTTTTTTCTTCAGCAGGGAAATAGTCGAACGTAAAAAAGACAATTTTTTTTGAATTTTTTATTAATCGGATTTTCGACCATTGTTTTTTTCTATAGAAAAAAGACTCCTCTAGGCTCCAAAAATATCGATGGAAGTAAGCTGATTAAAGAGCCTTCCAGTGAAGTACCAGACGTTTCTAGCAAAGGATTGATATGTATGAAACCAGTTGTTAAAAGAACTGTTTTTGATAACAAATCGACCAGGAATGGAAAAGGACTGGAAGAAAAGTCTAGCAGAGAGGAGCTGGAAAATATTCTTGCAGGTCTGAAACTACAGAGTACTGAGAGGGAGAAGGAAAGAAAAGAGGCACAAGAAAAGAAGCTTATTAAGCTGTTAGTCTTCATTTAATTTTTTTCTTCTTAGTACTTCTAGATTTAGATTTGTTTAACTTTCTTCATTTACATCGCGAGTAAGTCATTTTGCTTTTTAGTGTGACGAGCGCTGAGAAGTTTTATGTTCCTGAATCTGAAAAAGTTGCACTTAGACCAACTTATGAAAAATATGTATACGAGGGGGAATCTTCTTCGCCCTGGGATGTTTACGAAGACGAATATGACGATACAACAGACGATCATCGCTCGTACAGTGTAGATGTCCAGTAAGTTTTGTATAGTTATTATTCGTAATCACCCACAAATTTTAATCAGTGTGAATGCCTATTTACTGGTAAGGAAAAAGTAATTATCTGATTTAAGAAGTGAGTCAGCTCCCGAAGAAATCTTGCGTGGAGTGGAGCCGAATCGAAATAGAGAAGTTCCTGAGGAAGATGGAGAAGAAAAAAGCAACGAAATACTTACAGAAGAAAACCAGTCGCATTCTGGACATGGAAAACGTAACTGGAAACGAAATTTCAAAACGCAAGAGAAGGGAGTGGGGTCAACTGATGTGCCAGATGTTCGAGAGGATGAAGGCAGAAATGCGGGGAATGTTGAAGGCAGTAATAATAACGATAGTAACAGTACTATAAATAATGGTAGAGGTCGGGTATTCAGAAGGTTTAAAAATTTTGACAGAGCCGGTTATACTGGTGGGAGGGAACGACAGATGAAGGAAAGACATAAAGGTGCCGATAAACGTCGTGGAGCCGATCGAAAAAGAAGAGGAGGAATGTTTTGATGTTGGAGTTTAAGGTCATTTAGTAGCACATTCGAGATGCGGTCATACAAATATGGTGGGTTTACTTGCAACTAGTTTTAATAGGCTTATTTGATGGTAATAATTCACTTGCGATCTACAGTATATTGGCGTCTGAAGGTTTTATTGTATTTATAAGGTGGTGTTGTTATCATTGTTATTGCCATTGTTACAATTTGTTTGGCTGAAACTTTGATTACGATATAATTTATTTCAGAACTGCAAATGAGATCTTTGAATAATTAACAATCCAGAAAAACACTACACACATGTCGACATCAAGCTTCTCTTCTCGCAAACGTCTAGATTTAGATTCTAAATGAAGTTGAGCAAATCTGATTATTCATTTGCATGAACAGTTACAAAAAGGGTTTTTTTGGAACTGCAGGAACTTTTTTTAGTCTCTATTTCTTAGTGAGAAAATTAGTAGACATTTGGGAACATGAAGCTTTGTAATAATTACAAATGACATCAAATGAGGAAATATTAATATTTCAGAAAGAAAATAAGATCACACGCTGATGTGATTTTTTTTTAAGTTTTGTCAGTTATAAAAAACCTCGCTTTATGCTTCTGCCAAAACGACTTGTATGGAGGAGTGAGATTCGTTTGGGGTGTTTTAGAAGTTTATTCGTTCGGCTTTCGCTGAATTCTGTGTCCAAGCCGATCTTAAAGGTGTGATTTGGCTAACTATGACAGTCGACTAAATTGTATGTAAGTAAAGGTGAAAAGTTAGAAGTTATTAAACAAGTAAGTAAACTAAAAATAAGTAAATAAATAGAAAAACGCATAAATAAATAAACAGCATCTAGAAACAACAGCAGTAACAAAAGGAAGTATGAATGACGAACTGAAAAAAAAAATGGAGGCAATTTGTTGTTAGTTTTGGTAGGATTTTATTTTTTTTTATTTTCTGGTGGTTCACTGGTTTACGGTTTTATTCGCTGTTTTACTGTATTGTGAAGAGAAGAAGTACGGGGCACGGAATTCTGAGTAGAGATAGATTGATGATGTTGTAGATTGGGAAGGGAAGTGAAATGGATGAGGTAATGGAGTGGGCGGGAGTGGCAAACGTTGGTAAAGGAAAAGTTGATTTTTTTTTTTGAATTTTTTAATTTCTACGTATTCAGATGAATATACAAATAGATAGATATGCAAATAGACAGGTGGACAGACAGTTCAGTAGCTAGATGGGTGGATAGTGGATGGACGTATGGAGAGAGAGAAATAGATAGATAAATATAGTATATATATAAGATATATACTAAGTAATTGCTGCTGAAGAGCGGTGAGTATTTAACATTTGCTGCAATGGTGCGCCACTCTGGTACTTTGATTACGGCATCTACAATTATTTGATGGTTTTGTGTAGAATACTAAGAAACTGGAAGCAATAACAGTGAAGTAGAAGAAAAAACAAGAATAGATGAAGAAAGAAGATCTAAGTGAATATATCAAGCCAAAACAGCGGTTTTTCAGTTGGTGTCATCGTAATAACTGTTTGCTTATCCTCAGTAAAGGAGGTTTCAAATCACTTTACTGTACAAAAATAAACGAAAAAATAGCAAAAAAAATTATGTTCCCTTTTTTCTAAAACAAAAACTAGTTTGTTTTTTCAGTAACATGCTTGTTAGATCATCTGAAAAAGTTTACAGTAACGGGAGTAACAACATTGGCACCACCACCAACCACCACCATCAACAGCAGCAACTACGACAACATTGAGCAATAAAAGGAAAAAATGAAAAAAACAACAGAGAGAAAAAAAAAAAGGAAAGAAGCAAAGCTATAATTATAAATTTTTAGTCTGTAAATACGGTGTTTTAAAAATTTTTTCTACTTAACTTTAAGAAGTTGGCAAGTAAGAAAGGAACAGCAACTGCAACAAAAAACCAATGAAAAAAGACAATAAGCATAGGTATATAGAAGAAGAATCTGGGAAAAAACGAATCAACAAAAGTTGAGAAGCAAAAAAGGAATAAAAAATAATAAAGTTTACTAAACTTCAAATAAATTTTTTTTTTTAATGTAGCAGTTAGTGCTAAGTGCAGAAAAGAAACTTTTCATGTTTTCTGTTTTTTTTTTTTTAAAGTTTATTTATTTAATTAATTAATTAACTTATTTATTTTTTTTCCTGGCTTTTCAAACACTCTGTAACAATTACCTTTTTTGTTTTTGCCGTTGATTGCAAAACCAAACACGTACAACATTTTTCTTCAGATCCAATTTATCAGCAATTGCCGATATACGTTCACCGCTTGGCCGTGGTTGTTGTCTGCAAGATAGATATATTAAATTTTAAAACTTCTTTTGCCGTTTGCAATCATTATCAGACATTCATTTGAATTACCGTTGAAGAAAGAAATAATATTGAAAGGAAATCAAAAATAACGATTATAGAATAAAAATTTTCAATTCTTTTTTTTTCCTTTTTCTTCAACACTGATACTGTAGTGAAACTATTTGTTTAATTTGTTAACAGAGTCAAAACAATGAATAGAAAAACGAGGAGGAAAGAAAGCGGTGTGCAAAATAACATTATTTGTAGAAGCAACATTCTTAACTGCTATTAATTGTCGTATCATTTTATGAAGCAAAATTTAATGTTGATGTATCAGTGCTGCGGTTTTGGAAAAACAACGATATCCAAAATAATTAAAACAAAACGGCAGCGCCGCCAATTACTGTAAATTTAATGTTTCTTCTATGACAGCCGCAACCCGATAACTGCATTATTTGTGCATCAATTTTGATGACAATGGACTATCAGTGCTCACACATCTGTGAACAGCTTATAAAGATGCAATGATACAGACACAGACACAGACCTAAAGTAATCTTCCAGAAGACGTTTTTCTGGTGCTGCAATTGATGTTCGTTTTCGTTTTTTATCTGTATTCGGCAAAATTCCCTGTGTATCACCGGCAACATCTTTTGATTTCATTGCTTCTTCAGCCTAAAATTATTTAATTAATTATTTTGCACTAATGTAAGATATATATATATACTTTTTATTTTCTTTCGTCGTCATTGTTGTCTTTAAAGTCCATTTTTTTTTTGATGGCTTTTTTTTCGTTTTCATTTATTGTTAGAAGAGCTTTAAATAGAGTAATCACTTTTCTTCTGAGCTTTATTTTCACATGAAATGAAAAAAAAAAGATGATAATGATGATGATGGCCGTCATAATCATCATCATCATCATCATCATCAACAACAGAATGAAGGAAAAGAAGAAGAAGCAAAAAAACCTTATCCAGCCAAGAATGTAGGATTGGTTTTAGTGAAACCATATTGTTATGGGATAAAGTTAAACTCTCGAATCGGCATATTGTTGACTGACTTAATGAGCCAACACCAGGCATTTTCAGATGTGCCAATGCTTTACCGACGTCTGCCTGTGTAACACCTAATTTGATCCGGCGCTGTTTAAAATGTTCAGCAAATCTTTCTAGTTCACGTGGATCTGTATCCAGGGCTAAAAAAAGGGTACAGCAGATTGCAGTATCAAGTTTTACTTTTATTCTTTATATTCTTTTTTTAATAGTTTATCAAATGCTTTATTAAAGAAATATAAATTTGCTGTAAACTATGGCCAACGTATACGATAATATAGCTGAGACAGCGGAACTGCAGTTGTTCTATTTTTGTTGCATGACAGTATGACAACTGCCTTGTTGACGTATGTTGTTTATGCACTAACCGGTTGAGGAAGTACCAAGCGGATATTGTGCTACAGAAGATGCGCTTGGCGAACCGACAACAGCTGTTGCAGTTGCAAATGGCGTGGCCATTGGATACTGATGGAACTGTGCTGCAGGATAATGCTGCATCGCCATTACCTTGAAAAAAATCATAAATCAACAATTTATCACTATGATCTGTTTTTCATTAATTTATTTCCCAATATCTTATTTAAGCATCATATAGACAGTCAAAGTTTTTTGTTTACGTTTAAAGTTTTAAAAAAATGTAGCAAATTTAAAAAGAAAAAAAGTATTTGAGCTAATCAAAAATTGTTATCATTACATGTAATGATGCCATTGAATCTGCAGTATGGTTCATTGTGGCATCAATGACCGATGATGGTTGTGATACAGACGATGTATCAAAATCTCCAGACGATGATGGCAAAAGTGGTGCGGCATGATAGTTGCTATAATAACAAAATAAGTGTATCTTTTGTCCTTATAATTTTGTTAGTCTTGTGGAGCTGTATGTATAAGCAATCAACTCTAACAGGTCTATAAAATTGTTTGAAATCTTACAAAATCAATTAATAAGATATGGTTAATAATGTTGCTGCTGATGAAGACAATGATGAACAAATGACCTACACTGGAAGAAAACCATAACCTTTCCCACCCTCGCCTGTTTCACAAAATGAAAAATTCAAATCACGAGACTTATTACCAGGCGTTAATTCTTGTCTTGTTAATAGAATAGTATTTGATCATTGTTATTGTCTACTGTTGTTAAATGCTAAATTAAAAGAACAAATAAAAACAACACCACCACCACCAACAACAACAACAACAAAACCTCTATAGACTAGACTGAATATGCACTAGATACGACAGGTGACATTAACAGATTTAGCGACAATGACGACAACAATGATGACGATGATAAGTGTGTAAAAAAAAACTTACGTGAACATATCGTGCGTTGGTCGAAGAACACCTCCACCGGTAGTCATATTAACGTTTTTAACATCAATTTCAGCTAATGCAGCCGCTGCTTGAGCTCGAGCTTGAAGTTCGTCAAATGGATTAAAGATTGTGTTAGCTTGAAAATTCTATAAAAAATATAGGGTAAAAAAAAGCATAAAACTTTCTCCCTGTTTCTTTTTTTTTTTTTTTTTTTTTTTTTT